TTAATTCATATTTATAAAATAATTATTTTTAATAAATTTAAAATTATTGTTTCCTTCATACAATTTAATCTGACCAAACATTGTTATTCTGAACATGCTTTTTCAATATAAATTTAAATTGTAAATATGTCCTTATTGAAATTACACTAAAACTGCATGCTGCTTATAAATAGTAACTTGTACAATAACACTTATGACCAAGAGGATAATTATGAAACAAGTGTGCTCTTAATGTACACAAAGTATTCACTGTGGTATCTCCTCTATTATTTGTATGTTTATTTGTTGTAGAATACACTAAGCAACTTTATTACCCTTAATTACATTTAAAAGTAACTGACATTGAGGAGTTATCACAGTTTTTGATTATTTGGTATTTATGTGTGAAATTAATTTTTGTCAGTATTTCTTTGTAATATACGAACTTAGAGGACGTAGAATGTACTGCAACCCGTAAATCCGTAATTACTGGCAATTTATTTAAATTTTAAATTACTCTGTAGTTGTAAGAGTATTATTGATAAGCTAAGTGCAATGTGTTCCACGTGTATTTAAGTAACAAGTGACTGCTTTGGTGTACGCCTTAAAAGTAATGAAATGCAGAACCCAAAGCTTGAGAAAGAAACCTTTTATGTAATATAACTCTAATAACAATTGTACGAAGATGTAGGAATTTCAGAGAATTTTCTGTGGTGACTATATAGTTTGCCAAATAAAGGCAAACGGGCACTGCATAACCATTAACAATTATGAGAAATCATAAAAACAGAATGATACAGTACGAAAAAAAAGAGAATTATTCGATTTATTATGCAAAATTTTTAAAAAGTGGTTTCGTTAAAGAAATGCAATAACAAATATTGTCTTCGATTTTTTACTCAACAGGTTTAAATGTAATAAAGCATACATGAAAATTGAATGGGAAATGTATCGATGCGGTGTCTGATTTGCACTAAAAATTCATGTATTTTTCCAAAAAGCATCACAAATTGTAGGTGGTGCCCTATTATTATTAATAAATCATTTAAAATAACAGCAAAAATAAAAATAAATTCTTTCTCTTACTGTATTTTCATAGTAAACACTGCCTTTGTATGTCTGAAAACTAACAACTGACTTTCTATTGTCTAAACAAAAAATAGTATAATAACATACTTTTATTTTCTTTATGTTTAAAAAGTGAAAATTATTGTCTTAATTTCAATTTTAATATCTAGTCTTAGTATCAGTCTATTAAATAAGATATTTAAATCATATTGAAATAATTATAATTATGCCCTTAAATATGGATTTTCATGGATGCAATTGCAAAAATGTAACAATTACAGAAGGAATATTTGGAGAAATCTGGGTTGGTAAGCAGATTGATGATCTTTATTTAATGATATAGAGGTAATGTAACGTGTATAGAATGTTTAAACTAATAATTAATAATTATGATTAGATAATAAAGATCAAATTTTTATTGATCCCATACCAAAAACAATAAAATCGTATACTTTGATAAATAGTAATCGAATGGAAATTGTTCTTATTACTTGGGGTGCTACAATTGTATCACTGAAATGTCCAGATAAGTACGGACATTCTGCTGATATTGTTCTGGGCTTTGATAATATGACTGGTATAATTTCATATTTGCATGATAGTAATATAATTAAATAATTATTATTAAAGTACAATTAATTGTTATAGGATATTCAAATTTTATAACAAATCCATTTATTGGTTGTATATTAGGCAGATGTGCAAATCGCATTAAAGATGGACATATCACTATTAGAGGCAAAGATTATGAATTAACAAAAAATGATTTTAATGGAAAACATCATTTACATGGAGGAGTAAATTTATTAATTACATTATCTATAACCATAGAAATAATAAGCAATATGACTTACATGTACTTATTAGACAAATGGATTTGGCCGTAAAGTTTGGGATTCATATATTACTGGATGCTCAGTTGTTATGAGTTATTTAAGTCCAGATGGGGAAGAAGGCTACCCAGGTGCAGTGTTAACTACAATAAGGTTCAAATTAACTCCAGACAATGAGTTTGATATATGTATGAGAGCAACAACTTCAAAGCCTACAATAGTGAATTTATCACATGGTTCTATGTTTAATTTAGCTGGACATGTAAGTAAAAATATTTTTCTAAACATACATCTTGTTAAAAAAGTAAACACTAATAGGGTGCTGGAGAATCTGAATTGAGAAATCATAAAGTATTATTAAATTGTGATCGTTGGACATTTGCGGATTATACAGATCCAGTTCCAACAGGTGCTATACGTGGTGTAGGTGGTACAGTAATGGATTTTCGAATACCTCGAATTTTAGGAGAATACATGAAAAAGGTATAAAATTATTATGTGTTGGTAGCAAAATATTAAAAACTTTTCTTCAATTAATGCTAGGTTCCACCTGGAGAAGGCTATGATCATAATTTGTGTGTTACCAAAGATGGACAATCTGGTACTTCATTTGTTGCTAAAGTATGGCATGTAAAAAGTGGACGGTATATATAAATAGAACTAAATATGTTAACTTTTTATAAAATAACGCAACTGTCTTAAATATATTGTTATTTAGTGCTTTAGAAATTTACTCAAATCAGCGTGGAGTACAGCTTTATACGGGAGGACGTTTACTACCTCCGATTATTCCAGAGTTTTTATCTACTTATGATTTATTAGAGGTAAGTGTACATTTTATTTATCTAGTTAATAACAGTTTTGTATCAGATTATCAATTTGATTGTACTGTAGGACATTGGAGAAAGTGAAGAAAGTGTTGAAAATTACAAAAGTGACAATGAAGATAGTGAAGAAGAAATGGAAGTTGAAAAACATTATAAAAAAGTAATAACTATACCTAAAAAGTTAGAATTTCTTTTAGGAAAACATGGAGTACGTTATAAAAAATACTGTGCTTTTAGTATTCAACCACAAAATTATCCTAGTGCAATACATTATGTAAGTATAAAATACAAGATTAGCATTTCAAACATTTAAACTGAAATTTATAAAAACTAACATATAAAATAAATTGTTTTCAGTCACATTTCCCATGTTCTATATTATACCCTGGTCAAGTTTATTATCATGATCTGACATATAAGTTTGAAGTGCACCTTGCAAATTACATGTAATATGTTTAAAACGATATAAATGTATTAACTTTACTTGTAAATTGTATCAGTTTTAATATTGTGTATTATATGTCATATAAAAATGTTTGGAAGATAGCAACTTCTTTTGGTAAATATAATTCTAATAAATATAATACATTTATTTTTTTGTATTTATCCTTTTTTATGAGACTCCTTCTTTTTATTAAAAAATTTACCTATAGTACCAATCATACTACCAAAAGTACTATGAATTATTAATGTACGTTGAATCCAATGTGGAAGTGCTTTTGTTTTATAGGTATAACGTTTATCTAACAATACTACTGTCGAATAATCGTTAATATGTCGAATAGCTCGCCCAATACATTGGTTTACAGCTTTCATACATGAATTTTCATAAAAGTTTTGACCAGCATCTGATTTCTAGTTAACAATAAAAAAATAAATACATATATATAAATTACATTTTGTTAAGTAATATGCATTATTATAATAAAGAAACAAAATAAATACTTACAACATTTTCTTTTAAATATTTAATCTTTTCCTGTAATTCTAATGATTTGACATTAGGATAAGGCATTCCTACAACTATAACACATCTTCCCAAATCATCAGAAAAATTTAATCCTTCACTTAATTTACCTCCAACCACACTAAATAATAATGATCCATTTTGTGGACTCTGTGGTCTTTTTACATGAAGAGAATATTGTTCCAAAATTTCATTTACCTATAATGTATGATCTATTAAATATTTATGATTTACACAAAGGTATTATGAAAAATTCATAAAGAACTAAAGATAATACCTGAGAAGCTAATTTAGGTTCTCGAAAGACATGCTTCTTTAAAGAAAGTTTTGTTATAATACCAGATTTTTCTAAGTGTTTATACACTAATTCTTCGAAATTATATGAGGGTAAAAATACTACAATACCAGCTGGTATGTAGATCTGTTTATATTATAATGTAACTGCTTCCAAAACATTTACCAGTTTTATATTTTGACGATTTTGAAAATTAAATTCAAATTCAATACCAGTTGGACCATGAGTTGTAATACTGCACACTATGTTTTCTTCAGAAATTACATGATCACATGAAAATGTAACAATTCTTTCAGGAATGGCTCCTGCTGGTATAAACAATTGCTCTGCAAATTCGTTCATTGGTGCCATTGTTCCTCCAGCCAATATCACAGCTCTAGCATCTTGAACTATTAATAATTACAGGTCAAATTTATTTAGAACAATTAGGAGAGTAATGATGTAAATATTTGTATGTTTATGTCTATACCAATATCATGAAAGTGTGCTGCTGGATTTAATAAAAGAAATTTTATAATACTTTGTCCAATAGTTGGACCAGGAATAACAAATATACGTCCATCAGCACAACAACTTTGTAAACATTCTAAAAAACTTATAATTGTTATTATTGGATTATTTGATCGTTCTTCATCTGATATTGTATCTGTAATTGTGTCTGATATATTAGATTCTGTACTTTTGGTTTTAATAAAATTTAAGAATTGTTTTACACCACATGTTTTTGTATCATGTTTATAAATTTTCAAATTAATGTCATTTTGTTCCATAAATCCTTGTAGTTTATGACTTAATCTTGAATTCTTAATAAACTTCAACAATTCAAATATATTTAGTGTGTCAATTCCTGTCAATATTTCAAATTCCTCTATTTTATACAATTTTGGAGATGTTTCTGTATTTATACCATCATCTGAATTTGATTTTATAGTAGCTCCAAAAACTGTTAGAAGTTTCTTTAAACAGAAACTTAACTGACTTAAGCTCAAAACATTTTTGGGAGAGAACAAATTTTGAAATCTA